GATATTATTATAGCGGCGTGTTCATTGCAATCGCTTCGTTCCGAATTTTGTTTCGTTCAATCGCTCGCAAGATTCACGCTTACTTCGTGCACTTATAATCTTGTTCCCTCTTTCTCTTCACTTTCAATGTAATGTTTACCGGGGGCATGATATAGTACGTTTAAAGAGACTATAGTACCAATGGTGTAGTTCTCACGCACTCTTTTTATTGGATTACAAATGAACGCAGTGAGTGCGTGAACACAACAATAAAGAGTGAGAACGAAACCACAACTGCAGGAAATCCACCAATCATAACCTCTTCACTTGGTATTAACCGGGTGAACAAGGGGTTAATAGCGTACTAAAAGCCCTATAAGAATACTAAATTTTTTAGGAATCTGTGACGCATGAATTTAGTATATGTTAACGGGCTTTTGGGGAAGCGTCTGTAAGGTTGGGACACAAGACCCTGAGAACTTGGATGTAGAACTCAAGCCTTTGGCAACAGCCTGGTGATTGTGCTTCGTTCCCTTGTTCGTTCATGTTATTCACTCATTGTACTCACTACGTTGAAAGATTAATAGTGAAGGGAACAAAGTGAACAAGGATACAAATGTAGTGAATTTTTAAACGGAGTGCGTGACGTGATCCGCGTGAACTTGTGAACGAAACGCGGGGAAAAAGGAAGTTATAATGAGCCCGCCGTACGCATTATATTATTCCTGTTGTTTCGTTCAGAACAATATGACTGCGGCCCGTGCGTTCACTTACTGCCTTCGTAATAATATTATTCTCTTCACTGTTCGCGAGCTCACGGATAGAATATTATGCTCGCGGGAGAGGTTAATAATAGTACGAAGTGAACAAAGTGAATTGAATTAGAAATGAACGTAGTGAGTGCATGAATTCAATGAACTTGAGAACGAAGTACCCTGGCATTTACTACTATCTTTATATGCGCCCGGGGTAATACGAACAGAATAATAATACGAAGAGAATATTATTTCGCCAGCATGACAATGAAAGCGTGAATGCTGTGCGGAATAATATGAACGAAGTGGGGGATCTTAAGGGGACCGCAATATTATTAGTACAAAAGCCCCCTTAATAACAAAACAATCAAAAGATAGGAAAGTTATTCCTGATCCAATAGATGACAGGGAATTCCAGGAATTAAAAAGAATCTGGAAAGGATGGGATTCTTCTTGGCATGACATTAATTCCTAAGAAATGCGTTGGGGAAAAGGTAAGAAGAATACCAATAAATATTAAATGTAGATGAAAAAGAGAAAGTGTACTAGAGGATGAAAGTAATAAATTCTTAGTGCCAACAATCTTTTCTCCATTAAAAATAATTCCAGAGAAGATAGAAATTATAGCGCCTAAAGAAAGAACAAAATGAAAATGCGCTACAGCATAATATGTATCATGTAATCCTACCAAGAACTTTTTGCCTGTAGAACCACCTATAGTAAACATTAATAAAAAGAGATGTGAGAAGAAGACAGAACTAATTCTAAGGTGTAATAATGGTGGATTTCCAAGATATGTAAAAAGCCAATAAAAGATTTTTGTACCAGTTGGTAAGGATATTAAGATTGTAACTCCTGTAAAATAAGCTCTTGTATCACTTTCTAAACCTACAGTATACATATGATGCCCCCAAACAAGACTTCCAAGAAGAGAAATAGATACGTGGCAAAGATCATTGATTGGTTACCAAAGATTATTAATTGTAAAATCCCAGAAATCATTATGAAAATGATCCCAAATGCAGGAATTCTTAAGATGTAAACTTCTGGATGTCCAAAAAACCAAAAGAAATCTTGATAGAATATAGGATCTCCTCCAAATATAGGATCAAAGAAAAGTGTATTAGAATGAAGATCACCCAATATTAAAAGAAGTGTACCAGATAAGATTGGTAATGTTAATAAAAGCATGAAAGCTGTAATCAAGAAAGCCCAAGGAAACATGGGATAGTCTTTAATGTCAGATAATAAGATCTCAGATTTAGAGTTGTTGTCCAAAAGTTAAGAGATGTAAGACATGAAGATATACCAGAGATTAATAATCCAAATATAAGATTTCCTGTACTTGAAGGTGATAAAGTCATAAAGGAAGTGGGTCATGGTGGAAAAAATGTTCATCCTGTACCACCTCCAAATTCTGAGATTATAGAAAGGATTAGGAAAAGATATGAGAGTGAGAGAATTAAGATAGAAAAATGATTGACTCTAGGATATACCACTTCTGGAGACCCTTGAAAGATAGGTACAAAATAATTTCCAAATCCTCCAAACAAGCCAGGCATTACTAAAAAGAAGATCATTAGAAAGCCATGCAATGTAATGCTTATATTTCAGAAGTTCTGGTTTTCTGGAGATATAATCCTATTTCCTGATGAATATAATTCTATTCTTATAAGGACTGATATTAATGTTCCGGAGATTCCAAAGATGAATCCAGATAATAAAGAATAAATTCCTAAGCCTTTATGATTACAATTTTTAACTAGTGATAGAAAAGATACGAACGGGCCAGTAATTTTATATTAAAAGGAATGGTGGTTTCGTTCGCCCCTTTAATACATTTCATGCGCTCACAAGTTCAGTTATAAATGCATTAAAGCAGCTCTCTTCACTTAATATAATATTGTTACGGAGAGAATTAAATGAATGCATCTGTAAACGAAATTAGTGCACGAAATGCATGAATTAATGAACGAAGTGCACGAACGCAATAGTTTTTTAAGATGCGCGCGTCGCTGCGTTCCTTGCATTTTAATAATAAATTAGCGTCCGTGGGTGAACTTCATTCGCGAGCTCATTTGTTCACTTCTCTTTTAGTATTAAGAAAGTGAGCTTGCGAACGCCCCACTTCGTTCATTCTATTTCATTGTGTTCTCGCTTCACTACGTTCATACGGGCTAGTTCACTACATTCACGCCCGTGTAATAGAGAAAGTGTATTGTCAAGTTCATGCAAATGCCAACCAACATGCGAACGGCAGATTCAATTCACGCACTTCCAACACCAGTAAAATATGCTATTATAACCGTGTAAACGCGAGAATAGTTATAAAAGCCCTTATGATTCCAAGAGGTCCTTCCTGCCAGTTATGGCCAGTTGTGTTTAGTGCTAGGTGGCATGGACTCCGGTCCCAAACACCAAGACGGTGAACTCGCAAACCACACACCTCGGAAAGAATCGAACCTCGTTTTGAAAGCTGGGTTGAGCCCAGGTTCGAACCCTCCGACCGTTTGGAAAAAGAGAGGGTCAAGTGCGTGATGATCCCTAAGTCCATGGGTTCTTGTGTTTGCCTTCCCTCAAGATTTGAGGGGTGACGTTGGGCTCGAGGTGGCACATGGCTGCTAACGCTTTGAAATTTGTAATGACGAACTTTCTTGCCATCTCGAGCTGTTCTGCACAGTGAATTTGGATGTGAAACTCTTGGAGCCAACGACAAACCCCCAGACATCAGCAGAAATTTTGTCGCTCTACGGCGTTAAGCAGCTAATGACACCCCAGTAGAACTGCAAGAGACGCTAAAGCCACCTGTTTTTGCAACCACCAGCGTCAGAACAATTCCGCGTGTTGCAGACGGTGTGCGCTGTGGTTACGCGAGACTCTTTTTCCTGAAGGTGTTCGAAGCGGCCAGATGGCCCTGCCTTGCAACCACAGCCTCTCCGTGTTGTTGCGGATAAGAGCCAGTACCAGCACCGGCGAGCCACATCCTTTGTCTGACCCAGCTCGAGCACCTGACTACTCAACGTTGAGGTTCCACCGAACAGAAGTGCAGGACTGGTAAGATTATCCGACACTCAGAGGTGCAGGGATGAGAGAGCAACGCCCAAAGATGCGTTTGATTCCGTTCGGTCGAAAACAGCCGCGCCATTGGAAGGACTTGACCCAACACGGCTATTCTACAGACTATAGAAGACTGCAATGTACTGTCATGTGCTTTGTGTCCATCCTGGTATACTATGACGAACTTAGCTCCCTAGCAGGTCATTTTGAAGTGCCACGCAGGAAGGTGGTGGGCCGTTCATGTCGCACTTGATGCTTTGTCTTGCCTGCCCCCAGACTTCAGAAAGCTGGGTTCGCATCAAGTATTGATTGGGAACCCCTCCATGATCATCAGATGAACTTCGACTCAGAAACCCATAACCGCCCTGATTGTCAGAGCCAGACGTTTGCTCACAACAGCGTGCTCTGAATTAGAGGGAGCTGGAAGGTAACATCGTTTGAGTGGTGTGCCATGTGTCTGATATTTAGACGGCCTGCTCGGCTTCGTTTCGCCATAGCTTTGAAGGTAATTTGTCCGAGTTTCGGGCCTAGCTTGTCTCCAATACAGCATCCAATGACTAGAGGAAACAGATTGCCGGCCAAGGTGTGTGCAGCCACGGGACCTGTCCACAGGACTTGTCAAAGCAGGGGAGGCCCCGTGGTTCTGGTTTGGGCGCGGTCCAGAACCAGTACCTGGGTGTCCGCCAGTTTCAGCGGGTCCACGGAGGGACACCTGAGATTCGACTTGGGTGGAAACATTGTGTGTGTGAATTGTTTGACATCGCTTTACGCTGTTGCTTGGCGCCGTCCTCGCTTTTCGCCTGATGCAAGGGAAGTGCATTCCCGGCAAGCCGTGCAGAACTGTGGTTGCGTTGTGCAGTAGACACTTTGTTGCGTGAACCGTGACATCTCAACCGACGATGTGTTTTGTGAGCTGGATTTGAGGCGTCAGCCCGATGTTGAGTTTTTCCACTCTGAAGCCCAAATTGCGTGTATCGCTTAAATCAGCAGAGATGGTGATTTCGACCCGGTTGGGAGTGTATGACCTTCACCCCGGGTGTCAATGTCCAAAAGTCTTCGACTTTATAGTTTCGCGGCAATTAACTCCGAAAGGCTTGACATGTTCCAATGTCACATAATCAACAATCAAAAGACACCCGAAACATTTGCGAACATCTGTTATTTCTAAAAGCCGCTGGCCCGAAGTGGTCGTCGCCTGGGCCGGCTGCCATGTACCGGGCGCTGTTGCTGTGCGTGTTGGCCTGGGGTGCCCAGGCACTTGGATGCCAGGTTTCCCTAATGGGGTTTCGGGTTTAGGGTTTAGGGTTTAGGGTTTTTAGAATTTTGGAAGGCCAAGTACAGTTGCGTGGCTTCTTGGTGCTAAGTTGGGCTACTTGCTGGTTGTTTGATGATCCTTCAGACATCAATCGAATGCTCCGTCTCGCGCAACCTTGCCCCCCCCTTACTGCCCGAAAAACAGAGCTGCCTGAGTTGGCTAGGTTTGCTTCGACAGGTTAGCGGAGCTGTTTAGGGTTTAGGGTTTAGGGTTTAGGATTGAGGGTCCCTGGTGCACTGGAGGAATTGGGGTTTGGGCTCCGAACATAGCAATGCCCTACATGATCTAGAGGCAGGTTGTGTCCGTTTGTTCAGGTTGCGGGCTTGTTGAAAGTTGAACCCGAACGTTGGGATTTGAGCTAGGGGCCATGTGCGGGTCGAATGTCCAGGGTCGTCGCGCCTGAGTTTGAGGCGCCGGGTTGCACAGAAGGCTCGCGCGGCACACGAATCAAGACATTTCCAGACATCTCCAAACCAACCCCCAGCCGAAAGCCTGACGTTCCGAACCCTAAGCATCCCCCAAACTTAAAACCTCAAACGCCTTTTGAGCCAGGCTTATCCCCACTACGTCCCCTCGTGTGGAACGTGTGGCACCGCCGAAGCTGCCGCGGCGGAAGCTGCCAAGGCCAATCTTCTGGGTTCTTGTTCAAGTGTGGTAGAGTAAGGAGACTGAAATAACTTAATGGATAATTTGGTCCCAGTAGGGTAAGTTGTTTGAAGGTGAAGAGGGTTTGCCATTCAATCTGTGGTGGTTGCAGGTTCGGGTGTCTCCATTGCAGGGGCTGCACGTGCCGTGGCTCTTGCATACACAATGCTGGCAGATTGGGTGGATTGTTACAACTTGGAATTCGGGAGTCCCGTCAGGCGCATCGGTCACTGACGGAGCAGGCGAACTTGGGCTGAGGGAGGGGACGAAAGCTTGGTGGTAAAGCCTAAGCCCCGCAACTTTGAAAAACAATCCTAAACCCTAGACCTTTAACCCTTAACCCTTAAACCATAAACCCTAAACACTAAACCCTAAACCCTAGACCCTCAGACTCCCGAAGGCCCTTCCTTCATTGTGGGGTCACCTCTGAGACTCCCCGGCTGGGGACGCAGGAAGCCCTAAACCACCAAGATCCCTAAGAAACGCTACGCACCCCAAGCCCCTCGACTCAAAGCCTTAAGCCCCTCGACTCAAAGCCTTAAACCCCCTTGGCAAGCAGGGTCCAGGGGAACTTCGGGAGGGGGGGCGTGGGGGGGCTTTTGCTTTCGGGTGCCTTGCTTGGGGTCTTCTGGATTCTTAGGGAAGCCTATGCGGATTTGAAAGGGTTGAAACTGGTAAGCCCCGAAGCTTTTTGGTAACCCCTAAGCCGTACACCTGGTAAATGTTGAGCCCTAACCCCCACCCCTGACCTCGAACGTGAAGCCCTCAAGACCCTAGCCCTAGCCCTCGCCGCTCAAAAGAACTACTTGGAGGTTCAGGGTTGAGGTTTAGGTTCCGCCCCAAACTACTTGGGGTTCAAGGTTAGTTAGAAGAATGGAAACTACCTGGGTCGCCCCTGATCTGGTCCTCCGGCTATCTTCACGGAAGTGGGGTAATGTTACTTCTTTCGTAGAACTACAGGTATCAATTTGGAGCCTACTTATAGCTATCCACCTGAGACCCCTACAATGGAAACCCTAAAGCTTAAGACCCCCCACTGTGATCAGGTGGAGCCCACAAGTACTCTGACCCCACTGTTAGCAAGACTTTAGGGGCTCTTCAAGGGGTCTGAGGTAAGCCCCACACCCACAACCCAAGAAGCTTCTAAGCATTGAATAAAGCCTTGAACCCCAAAGCCTAACCCTAAACCCTAAACCCTAAACCCTAAACCCTAAACCCTAAACCCTAAACCCTAAACCCTAAACCTTAAACCCTAAACCCTAAACCCTAAACCCTAAACCCTAACCCTAAACCCTAAACCCTAAACCCTAAACCCTAAACCCTAAACCCTAAACCCTAAACCCTAAACCCTGAACCCTGAACCCTGAACCCTGAACCCCAAACCGTGATGCACAGGCGGCCGCCGCCGCGCGGGTTGCGGCTGGCGATGCAAAGACGCTGGGCCTGTCGGAGGATTATCAGGCCCGGGAATCATGATTTAGCGTTTAGGGTTTGGGGTTTGGGATTGGGGTTTAGGGTTTAGGGTTTAGGGTTTAGGGTTTGGGGTTTGGGGTGTGGGGGCTTAGGGTTTAGGGCTTAGGGTTGTTCCCCCTTATACTAGCAGTCCTGAATAGGGATTATAGTGGACTGTTAGGATAAGGGGGAGCATCCCAAGTCTAGGGTCTAGAGGATCTAGGGTTCAGGGTCTAGGGTTTCATAGGTTCTAGGGTTTTGGCCCTTTATTAGTTCAGGGTTTAGGGTTTAGGGTTTAGGGTTTAGGGTGTAGGGTGTAGGGTTTAGGGTTAAGATCTGCAATCGTTGCGGCACCCACAGTTCCAAAGCGGACTCGTTGTTTTGGCACTCGCGCCTGCAACCTGCCAAGGGTTCAGGGTGAGGGTTGTACCCTGGTCTGTATGTTGATATTGGGAACATCGTGTTCACGGTGGTTCTAAGTAGAGTATAGAATTTGAGACCCTAAGCCTTGGCCCCCAAGCCCTGAAAACTCTCATTTTGGAGAGGTTTGTTGGCTTAGCACGCGATGATTTCGCCAAACTCTATGCGCATGCCGCTGAGGGCCCGCCGACGCCATGCTGCGATAGGGGTGTTTGCTGCTTGACCCCTGCATCCTAGAAACCCTAGCCTTAGCTGTAGTTGGCTGAAGCCTACGCCCTAAAGTAGCCTAAGCCCCTACATCCCTAAACCACCTGATCTTGACCCCTACCCCTCACCCTGAACCGTAAACCCTAAACCCTTAAGCCCTGGTCCTCTGTCAGGCCCAATATGGCGGCAAGGCAGCGTTTAAAGTTTTTCAGGAGGCGCCTGGGCGGTGGTTTAGTTGTCAGGCCGGATCCCTCCAAAGCTCAAAGCCTTCTTAGGCCTTCGGGGGGGCTCGAAACCCTAAACCCTAAACCCTAAACCCTAAACCCTAAACCCTAAACCCTAAACCCTAAACCCTAAACCCTAAACCCTAAACCCTAAACCCTAAACCCTAAACCTCGAGCTGGCCCTCAGCAGCCGGCTGCTGTGACCCTAGGGCACTGGAGTGCCCTCTCACATCTTCGCATGCCCGTACATCCTATGATCCAAGGCCCCTTGAACCCTGAAAGGTTTAGGGTTTAGGGTTTAGGGTTTGGGGTTTAGGGTTTAGGGTTTAGGGTTTAGGGTTTGGGGTTTGGGGTTTGGGGTTTGGGGTTTAGGGTTTAGGGTTGATCTTTGAACCGCGAAACCTTCAATTCACAAGCCCTAAGACCTCAACAGGTTTAGGGTTTAGGGTTTGGGGTTTCGGGGCTCAGGGTTTGCTGAGAGTCCAAACCCCTACTATTCAAGCCCTAGGCACCTCTACCACGGACCCGGAGAATTTCTTTCTTGGGGGTATCGGAGTCTGCGGGACCCCCCTCTGTAAACCCCGACTCCCTAAACCCAAGATCCCAAATTCCACCCGAAACATCTCCAACAGCCAGGCCGGCAAATCCCTGGAAGCCAGCAGCATTGGCGCGGGGCAACAGGCGGCGAACATCGCCAAGGCGGATTCAGGAGGTTAGGGGTTCAGGGGCCCAGATCTTCCATCAATTCAGGCATACTACCTAGAAAATTTTCCAAAGATGATACAGGGATTGTGCTTAGAACCGTGGGGTCAAGGCTTCAAAGAAGATTCCGGAACTGGAAGATCTGGGTTATGCGTAGTCTTTTGCCGTTCATTGGTGGGGCTGCAGTGGTTCTGGGGGTTCCCGGGTGATGAGGGGATAAGAAGTGTCTCGCTCGTGATTTTTCTGTTTTCGGGGTTTGGGGTGTAGGGGTTCAGGGTTCTGCTAGGTTTAGGGTGAAGGCTTTCTGCAAAGCCTTGACTCGAGCTCCCCCCCAACTCCCCCCCAAAAAAACCCTCCACCCCTAGACCCTAAACGACATCGGCCGTCAACACTCCAAGCTCCCTGAACCTTCAGACCCTAAACCCTAAACCTGAACCCTAAACCCTAAACCTTAAGCCCTAAACCCTAAACCCTAAACCTAAACCCTAAACCCTAAACCCTAAACCCTAAACCCTAAGCCCTAAGCCCTAAGCCCTAAGCCCTGAAGTTCGCAACCCTGCAGCAGAGGCCGCCGGCCTCTCACCGGAACAGCAGCTGAAAAACGCCGCGATCACCGTGGCCATCGCCAACGGGCCCCCTTTAGGGCCTTTAGGGCTTAGGCTTTAGGGTTTAGGGTTCGGTCTTCAGAGTTTTGGAGGAGGGTTTTAGGGTTTAGAGCCTTCAGGGTCCAGGGTCAGGGTTGAGTTTGGGGATTTCCGGGTTTGGGGGTTTTCAGGGTCTGAGGTCGGGGTTGAGGGTTTAGGAGTTTAGGAGTTTGGTTTTGTAGAGTTTGGGGTTGCGGGTTTCAGAGTCAATCCCTAGACCCTAAACCCTAAACTCTAGACCCTAAACCCTAACCCCAAACCCTAAACCCTAAATCTTTCCTTCGGGGACGTTGTTGTTGCTTGATCAATCAAGCAGGGGAAGATGCGCATTTCCTTTTGGGGGTACCGCTAGACTTCTGTACCCCCACAAGAGTTATCATTATTCGGTCTGTTCTTGTGAGTCTTGGCTCGTCTAGACAGTCTAAAGCACCAAGTGCAGCCCTGAGGGCCACCCCAGCTGGAGACGGAGGTTTGACAGTATGGGACTTATCGAAAATATGGGACCCGAACATAGACCCCAAATAGTAGGATGCTCAAAGTATGGGGGTCCGCAGGAGCCCTCAAAGGCACATATCTTCGGAGCCCGAACTTTAAACCCCAAACAGAGACTCAACCGCCTACCCGGTGCAAAGAGGCTCTTATGTAGGAGTATCTTCAGAGGGTTTTTGAAGGGCCAACCTCGAAAATCTCAGAAAGATCCCGCAACCGGTCGCAGGGCACTGGACCACAGCGATCAGAAGCGAGCCGACATGGCCTACGCCACAGCGCGGGCCAGCCGGCAGCAAGGGCGCTCGAGGCTTCAGCCCGCAACCCTCAATCATAAGCGACCGTGAGCCCTGATACCCTCAACCCTAAACCCTAAACCCTAAACCCTAAACCCTAAACCCTAAACCCTAAACCCTAAACCCCAAACCCTAATTAAACCCTAAACCCCAAACCCCACATTGCAGTACCGACTTGTAGCGATCCTCGTAAAGTGACTGCTTAGCTCCCAGGATGTCAAGGGTTAGGGTGTAGGGTTGGGTTTAGGGTTTAGGGTTTAGGGTTTAGTGTTTAGGGTTTAGGGTTTAGGGTTTAGGGTTTAGGGTTCGTTTAGGGCAAAACCCTCAATGGGTGGGACTCTCGCGCCTAGACTCCAACTCTAGACCCTCGTGCGCGCGCCCGAAACCCCACATCCCAAAACTCCTTTGTCAAGAGCCTCACGGCCGAAGGTGCTCGTGGGTTTAGGGTTTAGGGCTAGGGGCTTCCTCTACATGGCACCCTTGGGGCGGATCCTAGAGTAACATTTCTGCTATTCTTTTTGGGGGGGGAGTATATTTGCATGCCTTCTGAGCCCTGACCCCCAAACCCCGAACCAGTGGAGAGGGGTTCCCGAAACCCTGAACCGAAACCCTAAACCCTAAACCCTAAACCCTAAACCCTAAACCCTAAACCCTAAACCCTAAACCCTAAACCCTAAACCCTAAACCCTAAACCCTACATAAACCCTAAACCCTGAACCCTGAACCCTGAACCCTGAACCCTGAACCCTGAACCCTGAACCCTGAACCCTGAACCCTGAACCCTGAACCCTGAACCCTGAACCCTGAACCCTGAAACCTAAACCCCAATTTGGAAATTCTGCCGCCATCCAAGTCCATCGCTCCCAGCATCGACTTTGCCTCACCTGCGGAACAGGACTGAGTCCCCAAATCGAAAGTGAGTAGGGTTTAGGGTTTAGGGTAAAAGGGCTTAGGGTTTAGGTTTAGGGTTTAGGGTTTAGGGTTCAGGACTAGCTGACGGTATGAGGGTAACTATTCTGGGAAGTCCTTACAGAAATGGCTATGCTATGTTGCACAATCAGCCCTGAGAGTTTTTGGGACGGACAGCGTAGCCTGCTTGCAGCCCGCACAAGAGTCGGTTTAGGGTTTAGGGTTTGGGGTTTGGGGCTTCGGGGCAATGTTTAGGGGGGGGGGGGGCTAGGGTTTCAGGGTTCAGGGGTCAGCGGCTTAGAAGCCCTAGTCAGGTGGAGGTTGCTATGCACGAGGCAGATACCTTTCGTGCAGAGCCCCACGAAACGGGCCCACATGCGGGTGGCCATGTGGGCAGTTACGGGGTCGCGGCAGGCTTCCCCCAAAGCATGCTCGCACCAGGCAGAAGGCATCCCTCCTCCGAAGCCAGGGGGGGGGTGTCTCTTTCTCTTTGGGGGTGGTTGGCCGGGATTGCAAGAACACTCATAAAGGAGAGGGTGAGGGACACGAAGGGTCATGTGTTGGGCGTCCCAGATCCTCAGGGGTGAGGTGAGGACCCTAAACCCTCAACCCTAAAACCCAAAACGCGAAACCGAGAAGGTTCTAGAGCCCCGTCCGGCTGTGCCATGGCACAAGGCCCCCAGAGCAGAACCCAAAGAGGTAAACCCTAAACCCAAAACCCTAAATCCTAAACCCTAAACCCTCATGCTGTGTCCGTGTTGTTGGAAAGGTGGGATTCCGATGGTTTGTGCTTCCAGAGTCGCAGGCACATGGATCGGTGAGAGCTCCTCGAGATATGGGCCAAGTAAACCACTGATCAGATTTCAGATGGTTGAATCCGCTGGCGAAGGGGCGCGATTCTGAGCTGACTGATTTGAATATCAATTCTGTGTCTTGTTGCCCACCATAGATCATGGACGAGTTGCGAGTTGAAGGGGATGCGGGGCACACTCGGAGGTAAGTCGGGTCCCGGATTATGAGCCCTCCAGCAAACCTTCCGAACAAAAATCCCGCGCAGCAGAACAGGGAGTACGCGAAGCCCACGTGGCCAGATCTTACAAAAGGTGATGATTGTCGCGTGGGGAGAGCCGTTCGAGAACATCATTTCGTGGGTAGTCTCATCTCGTCAGAAACACAGGAAAACTTGGTTCTTGTTGTGCTGCTGCTGGGCCTTTAACCTCTCAGAGCAAGCTCTCTTCGAAGGCTCAGAACACAAGAAACCCAACACTTCCCAAACACACCCCGCCCGAACTGCCGAGCGCAATCCTGAAGCCGCAGCCTGCGCAAGCGACCCGTTTTAAGCCCTCTCTGCCTGCTTGGGGGGGCCAGGATGAGGCGCTCAAGAACATGGATGGTCCCATTCAGTTCATTACCGGGGTGGGGACCTCAAGGTATGATGTAACGGGGGGGTGGGTTTAGGTCGCTTTTTGCTTCGGGCTGTGGGTACGGGGTTTTAGTTAGAGGTTTTAGAGTTTAGGGTGTAGTGCCTCAAGTCAAAAACTTCGAGGACCGCAAGGGTCCGATCGGGTCAGCGTGGGGGTTCTTTGCTTAAGGTTTAGAGTTTAGGGTCTAAGGTAAATCAGGCCTTTCATGTTTCTTCCCTCATCCCTCCACTCTGAACACCCTGAGGAGTTCTGCTCACTTCCTAAACCCTGAACCCTAAGCCTCTAAACAAGCCCTGGCAACCCCGAGCTGTGTGTGGGGCTGGAGTACTATCACTCGAGCTGGCCGCGAGTGATTGCTGGCGCGCCAGGAGTAGACCAACCCACACACGCCTTTCCTTTTTTCCCGCCCCTCCCCTCCCCTCCCCTCCCCTTGGCGTGGCTCGTCGGCAAGTGTGAGAAAGAATCCAACTCCGATTTTGGTAATTATGCAGCACTCTTTATTGGCCCTACAGATGCAATAGACTCTCGCGGGTAGCTCAATGTCATAATGTCGATACGTTATGCAACTGCAGCCCACGCAAAGATAAAAGTGGAAGGACAAGAGGCAGAGGAAAGAAAGGGAAGTGGGAGTGAGAGGCTGTGACCTGCAATGTTGTATGTGCACGGCCAGCACAAAAGTGCGTACGCGTCGCCTGGCTGTATGTGGCAGGCTTCAGAAGCAGCAGGGATGAGTGCAAACATGAGAGAAGAAGCAAAACAAATAAATCCCCCTAATATAGAGCAAGGCCATTTTCTCAACTGTCAGCAGACAGCAGAGTGGGGCAGCGAGGCGGCACGGCGCGTGGAGGGGCAAGAGAGGGCCTTGAGAGGACAGGCTGCCGTCTTTGCATGTGCTTGCACTTTGCTCACGCTTTTGGATATGTATTTCCATATATGCGTCCTGCAGTGCGCTGCTCCAGTTGACGACTCTCTTATGTATTATTTCGGGCAATGGCCCTCCTCTCCTCTGGTGCATCATTGTTTCGCTGCCACCGAGCAGTGCAGTCCTGTTTCAGGGGCTGGCGCAGGGCTCCGACCCCATGCCCCGCTGTTTTGCTAGAGTGCAGGTGCTGCCTTTTTGACCGCGAGGATGCCCAACGACTGAGGTCCTGCTCAATTTGGCACTCCGGCGCCGGGTGTCGGATGCCGCCTACCGCTACTTGGGTTGGTACATGGGAGGTGACCCCCTCTGGACGGTGCCGACCGCTGCGGCTAGGAACCAGCTGCGGACGGTGCGGGCTCGGCAGGACCGTCGCAGCATTCAGGGCGTCCTGGAAAGGTGTTGTACATGTGTGTGTACTATATCCCGCGCAGAACCTCTAACAAATGCGACGCGAGGTTTTGTCTGCACGCGGGGGCGCAACCTGGAAGCTGCTCCTGGCATCATCAGCCAAATCCGTGGCCTTGCAGAGTTCTGGAGTAATATCCTTGCGTATGACATGCGTCGGGCCCGCGTCGCCACTCGCCTCCCGGCGAAAAGGAACCTGTTCGGCATGTGGAGACCCGCGGCCTTACGTGGCGTTCTGGGCCTTGACAAGGTCTTGGACCTTGCAGGCCTGACGGACCTGGACTGAGACCACGCTGATGCGCCTCTCCCTGCTAGTCAGTGCTCTGCTTTTTCTTGTGCTTTTTGTTTTTCATTTTATTCACCTTCTTTCTTGGGGGCTGCTGTGTGCGGCGACAAGCCCTGGACTGTCAGTGTGGTGCCGCTCGATACGCTGCTATCCTGCCTCGTGGCCGGGTGCTGCGGGGCGCTCTGCCAGTTTGAATTCCAAGCAGAGAGGCAATGACGGTCCACGAGCCCCTGAGACTTGCCGCCACGGATGGTGCCTTAGGCGCGGCACTGCTTCAAGCAGGTGCCAGCACTCACTCACTCACTCAAGCCCTGGCAAACTTGAGCAATTCTAAACCGTAAACCCTAAACCCCAAACCCCACACCCCAAACCCTAAACCCTAAACCCCAAACGCCCCACGAATCAGCTCCGAAGTCCAAGCCAGGGAACACACAGCAGGTTCAGCTGCAACATGCCAAGCCCTAAGCCGTAAGCCGTAAACCGTAAGCCGTAGGTTCTAAGCCCTAAGCCTTTAAGCCCTGGGCCCTGAAGCCTAGCCGTATTAAGCCATAAGCCCCGAGCCCTGAGCCTTCAGCCTTCAGCCCTACGCCCTAGGCCTTAAACCCTTAACCCTAAGCCAATCTTGCACTTCCAGAGAGGAGGTTTCGTCGGGCTGAAGGGGCTCGAAGAAGTTCTCTTCTCTGTTGGGCCAGCTAGCGGTTGCAGCCCCCAGCGCGAAACTCCCAAAACACAAAAGCCCAAAAATGCTCCAATAAGTCACCAAAACCACAAAACAGAAAAGCACAAGCACACCACCGACAAAAACACAACAACAAAACAAGAAAACGCGCAAAACCTTAGTTCTATTTTGCCGAGGTGCTCCCCACTGGGCATTGGAACCCAGGGAGACCAGGCGGCGGGCCTTTCAGCCTGGGAGCCCAGACTGGAAGAGTTTTTATGTTATGTTTTTTTGTTTTTTGGGGGGTTGGGGGTTAGGGTTGAGTTTGGGATTTTGGGTTTAGGGTTTACAGTAGGGTTTCGGGTTTAGGGTTTCGGGTGTCGGGTTCAGGGTAGGATGCGTCAACCAAAGCTCCAGAATTACGTGTTTTCCTTCGCGTGCACCCGCAAAATTCTGTGTTTTTTTGGGGTCTGACTTGTGTACTCAGAAACTCGAAAAACATCTGTTTGTGCGAACAGAAACTGACGGTTATGCAGGGAAATCCCAAAGTTGTCGGTTTTACATGTATCGCGAAAATGATCGTGTCCCTACGACAGTTCTTCAATCTTTTTTGGGCTTTCGCGAAAGACTTTCCCCTTCATCAGGTTTGGCACACGATGGCATCTCTTTTGTGGAGGTTTCAAAGCCAAGCCCCCTAGCCGAGCATTTCTTGCTGTTTCATGTTGCTTTCCGTGCAGGCTTCCGCAACTAATTGAGACAACATCGATAAACCTTGAAACCTAGACTCCTAGGCTCGAAGACCCCAAGCCCCAAGCCCCGGAACGTTCCCCCCTTATACTAACAGTTCAAATAAGGATTGTAATACCCTTATTATAGTCCCTGTTCAGGACCCGAAACCCCAAATCCGAAGCTTCCTCAACCCTTATATAGAGCCCCTAAACACCAGACCGAAACCCTCAACTTGCAAAACTCTGAGAACCCGAAGCCAAGCCGTAAACTTCCTATAATCTCGAAGCACGTGGGTGCTGGAACCTGAAATCCCCATGTGCCGGCACTCCAAAAACTTTAACGGGCAAAGGGTTTCCAGGGCTTTAGGGTTCCTTAGGGTTCTTGGGGTTCTGCTTTTAAGTTTATGATTGTGATGATTATTGTTGTTTTACTGTGTTACTATTCCATTCTATATTTTATTGTTTTTTTGTTGTTCTTGTTTTTTAGGATCTTAAGTGTTTTTGGGGATTTTGGGGTCCTTCGTGACTCCGAAAAGAGACGTTCCAAGACATCGGCCAGGCCCCGTCTTCAAGGATGAAGCTGCGCCAGTCGGTCAGGCCACGCAAGCCACTTCTAGGGGTTTAGGGTTTGGGGTTGAAGGGTTAAGGGTTTAAGGGTTTGAGGGTTTAAGGGATTAAGGGTTTAAGGGTTTAAGGGTTTAAGGGTTTAAGGGTTTAAGGGTTTAAGGGTTTAAGGGTTTAAGGGTTTCAGGGTTTAGGGTTCCGGTTTCGGGTTTCGGGTTTGGGGTTTGGGGTCCTGAAGGGCGGGCCTTAGGGAGCCTTAGGGCAATGTGGGGAGTATTCGGGAACCTTGGGTTACATGCGCCCCTTGACCCCGTGCTCCCCACCACCGGGGCTCCTAAGCTTCCCGAAAATCCCGAAACCCTAAACCCTAAACCCTAAAACCCTAAAACCCTAAAACCCTAAAACCCTAAAACCCTAAAACCCTTCAACCCTAAACCCTAAACCCTAAACCCTAAACCCTAAACCCTACGGCCTTGCAGACGTCGGCCTCCTGGGCCAGCCTCGGGCATACGGAGGGCCACCACCTCGCCGGTTGGGAGTGGTTCCTGATGGTCTTCGCCTGGCCCTAAAACGGGGGCTGAGGGGGTGTTTGGGGTTTGGGATAGGGTTTAGGGTTTAGGGTTTAGGGTCTAGGGTTTAGGGTTTAGGGTTTAGGGTTTGGGGTTTAGGGTTTTGGGGTTGACAGGGTGGACGGGGTGCAGGGATTTCCTGGGGCGCATGCTTTAAGAATGCAAAGGTTGGCTGGAGTTTTCTTTAGGGCTGAAGAGGTTCAGGATTCAGTTCAGGTTTCGAGAGAGTCGAGGGTTTCAAGAAGTTTCGGAGTCGAGCCCCAAACCTACGAACCCGACACCCGATAGGGTGTGGGGTTCCTGGGGTGGGTTGTCGCGCCGCTAACCCATAACGAAGGGCCCTGGTACCTACCCTAAGAGGCTGCTGAGGCTTGAAGGCTTGAGGCTTGAGGGTCTCTGGTTCAGGGGCACAACGCAAACAAGACCTCAATTTGAGTCCTTGTAGCCCGCCCAAACCCTAACCCTAAGCCTTCAGCCCTAAGCCCGAAGCCCGAAGCCCTAAGCCCTAAGCCCTAAACAACCCAAACCCCAAACCCCAAACCCGAACCCCAAACCCCAAACCCCAAACCCCAAACCCCAAACCCCAAACCCCAAACCCCACACCCTAAACCCTAAACCCCAAGCCTCCAAAAGCAACCCCAGCCTTTCGAGGGCTTGGTCGTCTTCTTGGGTGGCCTGAGTGTGCTGCTCTACAACTATGCCTTCGGGCCCAAGAGTGGCTTGGAGGAAGGAGTTATGGGTTTGGGGGGGTTTTAGGGGTTCAGGGGTTTAGGGGTTTAGGGTTTGAGGTTTAGGGGTTTAGGGTTCAGGGTTTAGGGTTTATGGTTTAGGGTTTAGGGTTTAGGGTTGTAGGCGTAGGGGGTTTAGGGTCAAGAAGGTCAAGATGGGGTCTTAAGATTGTCCATGACTTTACGGGTTTGGGGTTTCAAAAACAATCTTTGGGGTTGGGGTCTATGGTTTTAGGGCTTAGGGTTCTCAATTTGGGGCTGACAAGATCTTGGGTCAGAGGCAGGCTTAAAGAGGGTCCAGGGTTACGGGGATTAGGGTTGCGGGGGTTTAGGAGGATTGAAAGGGGTTGCAGGGTTGAAGGTGTTGTGAAGCTTCACGCCACCACCAGTCAAACTTCTTTGTCCGCTAGGTCCGTTTGTGTTCTGCACTTCTGAGTAGTTTCATGGGGCCTTAGTATGGTCCCTTACCTCCTTTAGAGGGTTCTGATGTATGGGCCCTTAATTTGTCTAGGGTATAGAAGAGTATATAAGGGGCCACAGACTAAGGGACCATGTAACTACCCTTGGAGCACTCGGTGGGTTCGGGGATGGCGGCTCCAGCAGCAGTAGCAGTCCCAATTGGCCGAAAGCCGCAGTTTGCGCGTGTGGGTTGTTTCCAGGGCTTCTGAGAAGGGGCATCGATCTAAGTCATGGACCCTTCGACTTGGTATCCTAAGCTCTAGAGGGAGCCTTCGCTCGATTGGCGCAGTTCTGCCAAACCTTCGGCTCTTCGCAACCCGACAAGCCCTCAACAACCCCTCTCTCCCCTGAAGCGCAAACCCCTAAACTCCTCAACTTCTAGGGTCGCTAAGGGAGGGCTTCATTGGGGGGGGGGGGGGGGGGGGGGGGGGGGGGGGGCCGGGGGGGGTAGGTACCTGGGGAACCTTAGGGAAGGTAACGGAGCTTTAGGGAGTAATTAGTGCTGAGCTTCCCCCAAATATGGAATATAGTCCCCTATATACTTAGTAACCCCTACATAACGCCTAAGCTCCCTGATAAGGGTCCCTCCTTTAGTCCCTTGAGGCTACGGCTATTCGTCGGAGGACGACGCCATGGACGAAGACCCGGAGTGAGAGGGGGTAGGGGATGCGAATCGATTCATCCGACAGGGCGTCCTTTAGGATCGCAGTTTGGGGTTTGGGGGCCTGGTGTCCTGGGGTGTAGGGTTTAGGGTTCAGGGTTTTGGGGTCTAGGACGGTTTAGGACGCTTCCGGGATGGTTTTGGAGGGTTTTCAGGTTTAGAGGGTTTAGGGGGCTAAGTTTTCGGTTTTGTTTCCACAGAGGGCCTGATGAGAAGGACGTTGGCCCCTTTTATTGAAGGCGTGCTGCTGAGCCCTGGGGCTTGGTGAGTTAAGACCTCCCTGCGCCAGAGGGGGCCTTCTGACCTCGGAGGACCCTGCCATCGTTTCACTGAAAGCCCAACAAACAAAGGAACCAGCTGTGCGAGGTCTTGGCAAAGAAAATGGTCACGACAACCGTCCGAACTGCGGGGAGGGCGGGGGGGGGCCGTTTATAGCCCGAGTAGGAACCTAAACCCCCTAGATCCCAGCCCTGACAAGGCTCCAAAAGCCCCAAACCCCAAAACCCTGAAACAGTAAAGCAGACTCAGCACCGTAGGTTTCTGGCCAACGCTTGTGGTTTGCCCGCTCCTACACACAGAGGCAAGCTCAGAACAGCTCCCCAATAGTCTCAACGGCGCACGGAGTTTCCGGTAGTGCGCCCACGATACTCAGCACCCTAAACCCTAACTTGAAATTATTCAAAAGCTCAAAAACCGAAACTTTCCTAGGAACTTTCCTCGAAACTTTCCCCGGACCTGAACCCTGAATAATTTCAAAAAACCCTAAACCCTAATCCCTAAACCCTAAACCCTAAACCCTCAACCCTAAACCCTAAGCCCACCGAGTCCGGGAAGGCTGCGCTTCGTAAATGGGGACCCACCAACGCCCCCGGCGGGTTTGTACCCTGGGGTTTAGGGTTTAGGGTTTAGGGTTTAGGCCACACCAAACTTTGCATGTGAAGATTGGACGAACAGGGGCTTGTACCCTAAAAAACTAAACCCGAAAGACTATGCAGGTGCCATACGAGTTGTGGGTGGGTTAGGGTTCTAGGGGGGCTTAGTGTAGGGGTTCGAAGGTACGGCACGTTGCTGTACTTGCAAGGCCTTTCTCAATTCTGGTGAACGGGTCGTCAGCTCGTGCACTTCACAATATCTCATTCCTGTCGAATAGGCTATCCACCAAGACATGGAGTTCTTCTCCATGTATGATGCTGTGTGTCATCACGCAATCCCCTTGAGATTGGAGTGCGCCCCGCACGTGGGCCTCTAAGGGAGAGCCTTCTCTCCACCCCCTCTCTGATCACTCACCACAGAATTCCCACCTCTGCATGTGGCCATAGGGCATCATGGCGTGCTGCCGCTGCTGCCGCTGCTGCCGCTGCTGCAGCTGCGCAGCGGCAGGGGCTGTCATCGCGCTTCTTGCCGCCGTGCTCACCGGCATGTGCTACAACGCGTCTCTGGCGGCGCAGCGCCTCATTGAGCCAATGCCTACCGCGGAGGAGCTGCCGGCGGGGGCACGCTACTTCCGTGACCGGCCTTCTGACGGCGGGAGGCTCGAATGGCACGAGTATGGATCCACTGAGCCGGGCGCGCAGGTGTGGCTTCTTGTGCATGGATCCGTCAGCACCGGGGGCGTCTTCCACATCTTCCCCGGCTTTGATCGCCGCATGCGGGAGTTGGGCGTGCGAGTGATTGCGCCCACCATGCCAGGCTGGGGCGCCTCTGATGCCTACACGCCCGTGTTCAAGATGACGGGTGGCCTGTGGTTGGCAAGATGGACTCAAGACACGCTGGCGCTCCTGGACTCGCTGGGTGTCGACAAGTTTGCTGTGTCCGGTATGAGCCTGGGTGCGCCCCCTGCCCTGGCCCTAGCTGCGGCTGCGCAGAGCAAGCGCCGCCTCGTAGCCGTGGCAGCGCTGATCGCAAACATGTGGAACCACCCTGGCTTTGACATTGTTGAGGCCATCTCCTACACAGCCATGGAGCGCCTTGCCATCCGGGCGCTTCAGAGCCAATACCTGGGATCGGCAGCCGCGTGGCTCATGCGCAAGATGATCCTCGGAACGACGGACTTCAGCACCAGCCCGATGGTCCCGGACGACGTCACGTGGGACCGTGGGCTGTGGGGGAGCGACATGCAGCGTGCCTTCCGCTATCAGCTGGCAGGGCAGGTGCAGTCAAATCGGCTGGCGTTCATCCACACGCCGGCGCCGTTGGTTGATTGGGCCGTGTTTGACGATTCCGTCCCCGTGTATGTCTTCTACGGCGACCGGGACGACGTTTGCCCGCCTGTGATGGCGGCCCACACGGCCACCATGCTTCCGTGGGCAAAGCGGATGGAGTTCCGTGGCACGCACTTCCACCTGGATATCTTCAGTGTTGCCCAGGCGCTCTTTGCTGGTGCATCCGGCTGATTGCAGGGCTGACGCGGCGCCGGGCAGTGAGAGATATGAGGGTGCTTGCCACCTTGGGCAATTGCTGACCCAGGTGTAACATGCCCACTTTCCTCTTCATAAATCCTTGGGAATCCTGATGAGCCATGCATGCAGTGAGTCCATGCTTGGGAGGGTCTTTCTAAGGGAGGATGTCACGCGTGACCTGGGCAAAGAATCAGCGCCACTCCCAAGGCACGAAACGATTTTCTGCCTCAGATGTTCAAATGACGGTTGCTGCCGCGGTTCAGAAAGGGACATTGATGAGATGAGGCTCTAGACGTTCCAACACGGCCCTCCGCCGGCTTGTACCTTAACACCCTAAACGTTGCAGCGTGCGCATGCGTGCGCTGTGTTCGCGAACAGGGGGTTGTACACAAAAAGCCCAGAAAAGCTCATCCCTCAAGACACTGCAGGCACCATACGTTCGAAGAGTTTGCGTTGCTTGGGCTTCAGGGCTGCAGGGTTTTGGGTTTAGGGCTTAGGGGTAGTCCTTGGATGTTTTGGGGTTTGGGGGGGCCGAGGGTCCGAGAACTTGGTTGAAAAGATCGAACGGGGGCGCGAGAGGATCAAGCCAAGATGTATCCCCCCCCCCAAGCCTAAATGCATCTGCCCAAGCCCTGAACCGGAAGCCCCTGAACCCCAAAGCCACCCCAACCTCGTGACTTATTTTTCAAACCCTGAGCCCTCAGTCCTAAATATTGCAAAGCCCTAGAAACCAAGAAGAGCCCAGAAGCCTGAACCCCTAAGCCCCCGGACTCTGCACTGAAGCCCCACTTCCTGAAGCACCCCCCCAACATCCACAACAGGGGGACTGAATTACCCTAAACCCTAAGCCCTAAGCCCTAAGCCCTAAACCCTAAACCCTAAACCCTAAACCCTAGTTATTCCGACCCCAACATCCCACCTTGCTTGCATCAAAAGCGCGGTGCAGCCATGGCACCTCCGGCGTTGGGCCGCCGGAGGGGCGTGGTGGGGGGCCCTCTCTCTGAGTTGGGGAATTGAGGGTTTAGGGTTTAGGGTTTAGGGTTTAGGGTTTAGGGATGTTTTAGGGTTTAGGGATTTTTTGGGATTTTAGGTGTTATGGTTTAGGGTTTAGCGACGTTTAGGGTTTAGGGTTTAGGGTGCAGGGTTTGAGGTTCCGGACTGGGGTGTCAGGCTTAGGGAGAACTCCGGAGGGTTTTGAGAGTCTTTTTGGGGGTACTTCCAGAGTGGAGAGGGTTCAGGTTTAGGGAGTTAGGTTGGGATGTTCCCCCTTATACTCACAGTCCTTCATAGGGAGTATAACAGGGGGTATTACCATCCCTGTTAAGGACTGTTAGCATCAGGGGGAAGATCCCAAGAGTTAGGGTTCGGGGCTTCGTCTATTTTTGCGCAGGGTTTTAGGTTTCAGGGTTTGCGGGAAAGACTTGGCCCAGGGTTTAGGGCTAGGGTTTATATTTAGGGTTTAGAGTTTAGGGTTTAGGGTTTAGGGTTTAGGGTTTAGGGTTTAGGATGCGGCTTTCCAAGGTGGTGATTGCCTTGGTGCTCTTGGCTTTGGGCTGCCAGGCGCGTGTCTGAACCCTAAACACTAAACCCCTCAACCCTAAACCCTAAACTCGAACCCCTAAGCCCTAAACCCTAAACCCTACACTGAAGGTTAACAGTGGCGCCCATCTTCTGTTGAAGCTTGCGCTTGACTGCAAGCTTGTATGACATGGTCCTCCAGCACAAGATCATCGTCTAAGCTCAGACTACAAGCTCTAAGTCCTGAATTCGAAGGTAAATGCATCGAAAGGGAGCGACAGGTGACAGGTCCTTCTTTCTTTGTCTCAGAGAAGTAAAGCCGTTGATCTCTAGTCTGCCTTGAACCCTGCATGTCAGGAAACCTGAAGCCCTGACCTTGAAATCACCAAGTCCCTCCCAGATCCTCAACCGCCCCCGAAACCCTCAGCCCTAAACCCGAAACCCGGTAACCCGGTAACCCTAAACCCTAAACCCTGAACCCTAAACTCTAAACCCCAAACCCCAAACCCTAAACCCTAAACCCTTCAACTCTCGACCCGGGGCCGCTTCAAGGTGTTGGGCGGCTCCTTGAGACGCGCATGGCCGATGCCCCGGGGGCATGCGGCGGACTTTTGCTGGTTTCTGTGCCCCAGGTGGGGGTTCAGGTTCGGAAATTTAGGGTTTAGGGTTTAGGGTTTAGGGATATAGGCAAGTAGCCATACAGGGTTTGGGGCTTAGGGTTTGGGGTTGAACCATGTGGTTTTGTACTCTGTGTCAGTTCCTAATGTGTCAGTTCCTGAACAGCAGGATGCCTCGACCGGCGTGTGCGGCCACTGCGGTTTGAGGGGTTGCGGGAGCCACCCTTCTATCGGGTCATCCTTCCACTGCTCAGGGTTTCGGGTTGTGGGGTTTAGGGTTTAGGGTCGAGGGTTTAGGAAGGTTTCTTAGGGACTTAGGGTTGTTTTTTCAGGGGGTTCTTAGGGTTTAGGGGCCTTTAGGGGTTCCAGGTTGAGCCCTCACCTGCTCGCCTCCGCAAGAGCCGGATCCCCACACCCGACCCTAAGCAAAACCGAAGAAGCTGCTTTCATGGCGGGATTGTTCTCCCCAAACCCTAAACCCTAAACCCTAAACCCTAAACCCTAAACCCTAAACCCTAAACCCTAAACCCTAAACCCTAAACCCTAAACCCTAAACCCTAAACCCTAAGCCCTAAGCCCTAAGCCCTAAGCCCTAAGCCCTAAGCCGTAAGCCGTAAGCCGTAAACCCTACCCAACAACAAGCCTTGGGGCCTTGTTCAAACCAAGCACAGGCGCGCAACCCTCAAGATCATCCAAGCACAAGCGCAGCAAACACACCAAAGCTCCCCCCCAACTCCTCAAACCCAGCGCGCGCCGCAACAACTTTAGGGAGCCTTGGGAATACTTGTTAGTTTTCGGGCAATGGAGAACTTTTGCTAGGGTTCCAAGTTCAGGGTAGGCATCACCCTCCCAAAGTATCCGACCGCCGCCCAGGGTGTCGGCCCGCCAGGCGGGGTACAGACAGTGCAATAAGCGGCCCTAAGCACCAACCAAGCTTTTTTCAATTCTCATCTCAATCCCTAAAACCTAAGCCCCAAACCCTAAACCAGAACCCGGGGGGCGGGCGTGCGGGCCCCCAAAGCCCCTAAACGTGAAGTTATGGGATGTCGGGTTTAGGGTTTTGGGGTTGAAGGGTTTAGGGTCTAGGGGCTTAGGGGTTTAGAGGGTTCGGGTCTGGGGATATAGGGCTGAGGCTTTCGAGAAGGCTTGCCTGTTTTCGGACCCTGGACCGGAGCCAAGGTCCCTTGAACTGAAGCTGAAGGTGTACGAGGGCTGGACAGTTTCGAGGTGTAGGCTTTAGGACTTCGGGTTTAGGGTTTAGGGTTTAGGGTTCAGAGGTACCTCAGGGCGAAAAACACACCATCAGGGTTGCCCCTGCTCTTGTAGGTCGTTGGGAGGCAGGGGTGTTGGAGGTCCTATAATCTTCAACAGCTCAACAAGTACCAAAGAAACTGGGGCATGTCCTGCGTCTTCACCGCGGCACAGGCTGAGAAGGACAGGCGTTCCTGCCCCTCCCGCTCGGGCTGTCCGGGCCCGCGAGATGGGGATCGGGTGTCTCCTTCCGTGGGCTCAGGCTTAGGACCCCGACCCCAGACCCTCAGCCCCAAACCAAGAATCGAAAATGGCCCTAAAAACCCTGAAACCTGAAACCCCAAGCCCTAACCCTAAAACCCTAAGCCCTAACCCCTCCACCCTTAAACCTAAAGCCCGCACCCTTGAGCCCTGCGCCCTCAATAAACCCGAAGCTCCGGGGCCTCGAGACGTCAAGGCCTTGAGGCCCTAAATGGGTGTGGGCTGTGGGCCCAGAGGATGTTGAGTGGAAGATCTAGTTTAGGGTTTAGGGTTTAGGGGAAGTCATAGGGGTTTAGTGGGTTCAGTGGGCTTAGTGGGTTTAGAGGTGTGCAGGGTTGCAGGGCCCAAAAGCCCTAAACCGGAAAGCCCGCAAGGAGGGTTCGTCTTAGATTGGTGACAAGGAGGATGTGAGCTTCCATGGGTCCTGAGTTTTACCAAGCCTCAGCCCTAAACACTGAAGCCGAGCGATCCTTGTCCTGCAAACCCTAAACCCTAAACCCTAAACCCTAAACCCTAAACCCTAAACCCCAAACCCTAAACCCTAAACCCTAAACCCTCCTGTTCCCAGAGCCCCCACCTGCAGCTCAAGGTTTACAAGGCTCCACATCTGGATCAGGGGGCTGTGCACCTCACCCTACAGTGAATCTTCAAGTTAGACCCCTAAACCCTAATTTAACCCTAAGCCCTGAACCCAAAATTTCCCTAGCCCTGATCTCCAAAGCCTAAACCTTAAGCCCTGACACTCAGCTCGATTTCCGGCGGGACGCTCGCATGTAGCTTGCGCCTTTTGTCGCAAGCCTGCTGCGCCGTCGAGGCCCTTCAGTGGGTTGGGGCTTTGAGGGCCGAAGGGCTGAAGAGTTTGGGAGTTTGGGGGTTTAGGGCTTTGCACCTGCAGGGCCAAGAGGTTGGGGCCTGCCCCAACACCCCGCCCCGCCCCACGCCCCACCCCCCCCCACCCCACCCCCCCACCCTCCCACATCACAGGAGGGTTAAGGCTTATTGGCTTTGAGTTTGGGGCTTTCGAGGTTGTAGGGTTTTGGTAGCTGGGAGCTAAGCAAGAGTTGCAAGCTTCAAGGGGCATAGACCCGATTCCGAGCGGCGGCCAGGCAATGGGCTGCCAATCCATCCACCAGCCAAAGGACTCGCGAACTGATGGGTGGGAATGAGGGTTTTCTCGGTTTCGGTTTAGGGTTTAGGGTTTAGGGTTTAGGGTGTAGGGTTTAGGGTTTAGGGCTTAAGGTTTAGGGTTTTACGGTTTAGGATGTAGGGTTAAGGTCTAGGGTTTAGGGATTCACGGTTTAGGGTCTAGGTTCTGGAAAGTTCTGGGGGCTGTTCTGAAGGGCCCAT